TACAGAAAAGGAAACTCGGGCATAGGGAAGTGAGTTACATATGTGTAGGTTTAAAGGTTGACTTGAACTCAGATCCCATGACAAGAATCAGTTATCTTTCCATTATATTAGGCTGCCTTGATAGCAATTGTCAGTCCTACGATTTTGTGTGATTTCAGCCATGTATTTAACAGCTTCTTATGAGCTCCCTGTGGATCTGAGAGAAATTCTGAAAGAGGGAAACTGAGATACAAATGGTTTCTTTAAGAGAACCAGTAACTATTTTATATTTCTTTTTATAGTCCTATTATACTTAACGCAAGTTATGTGTAAAGAATCACAGTCATTATTTATTAATTGAGCACTTAATGTGACCCAGCTCCTGCCCCCTAGAGACCTATGATCTAGTTAGATAAGACAAACCTTGTACTCATGTATTCCTTTGAGAGGCAGCATTAGTGTAGTGGATTGAGCGCTGAACTGGGAAATCAGGAAAATTTAGATTCATACTGTAACTCAAACTTTACTAGTTGCATATTTGTCACTGGGAAGACTGCTTAACTTCTTTGTGACTTAGTTTCCTTAACTTTAAAACAAAGGCATTGGACTTTTTTAGAGTTCCTTCCAGCTCTGTATCTATGATTCTTTGTTCTTCTTTTGCATTAATTAATAACCAATTTAATTCAGTCAATTTAGACTGAATTATCTGGGCACTACATTAACAAGCTGTAGAACACCCAGAAGAAGTTGACCAGGATGGTGAAGGGCTTTTGCCATAAGATGATTGTGTTCAAATCTATAGTATGTATTGCACATGGTATAAGATCAAGTGAAAATGTGTATTTAAAACATTTTGAAATTCTTGAAGGATTATGAATATTATGATTTTTAGATGATAGTGGGGTAGGAGTAACTGTTTAGAGAAAATTTATTTGGTCAGGAATCTTATGCTTCTATTAAATACTTGGGTGCATCAAAAAGGAAGTTTTGAACAGTGAAATCAGATCTATATTATTCGGGCTAATGAAGGAGAGCAGTGAGGTGGATAATTAAAAATGATAGGGTTTTGGCATGCATTTTTTTATTCCCATTGAATAAGAAGAGTAATTTACGGTATTCCAGGGGTTCATGACCTTTTTTGTGTCAGGAATCCTTGTGGCATTCTTGTGAAGCATGTGAGCCCTGTCTCAAAACACTGTTGAATGAATAAAATAAAACATGTAGGATCACAAAGGAGGCCAATAATATTGAGATACAAAATATCAATTTGTTTTTTTTTAAGTTCACTAACCCCACTTTAGTGTTCCTAAAGCATGATACTGATGATTTATTCTTTGGTTTAAAATCTCAAATTGTTCCCAATTGCCTTGGAAATAAATTATAAATCTCTTATCTGGTCTTTCAAGGTGGCTTACAATTTGTCCTTATTCTCTTACGCATAATCCACTCCTTGATCAAGCTCAGCTTCTGAGTGTTTTAGGAAAGTGCCTTTTTCTTGTCTCTTTGGAAGGCCTAAAGCTGTGTTGCTTTGGGCACCTGTTAAATTAAGTGGAAAACTTGTTTTTGGTCTGTACTAGAGAATGTATAACTAAATGAAATAAATATTCTTTTTATAATTTTAATCAATTGATTAAATTTTTTAATGAAGGTAATAGTGGTGGGGAAGTGCATGACCATGGTGGTGATTGTTCTAGCTGTTGTTTTAAGTGATAGCTATTGGTTTGGCATGTCACTACAGGTAAGCATCCATATAAAACATTTTTGGGGGGAAAGTTTGATTGAAAATTAAAAACTGGATTCACAGGAGCAATTGGTGGGGATAGACTAACCAATAAGCATTTATTAAATGCTTACTGTATGCCAGGCTTTATGTTTAGTCATGGAGATCCAAAGGGAAACAAAAAACATGGATCCTGCCCTCAAGGACCTTGAATTCTAATGGGGGAAGACATACAATTGACTACATACAGATAAGACATATTTATTGTTCAGTTGTTCAGTCATGTTGTGACATAAACTGATTTTTTCCTCATCTAGTAGCTACTGTTGAGTTTTCCAAATTTGCTGGCTTATTTAATGCAGCATTTTAACAGTATCATCTTGTAGGATTTTAAATAGCTCAGCTGGAATTCCATCACCTCCAGTAACCTTATTGTTAGCAGTGCTTCCTAAGGCCCACTTGACTTCATTTTTCAGAATGTCTGCCTCTAAATCAGTAACCACACCGTGGTGGTTATTGGTGATGTTAAAATCTTTCTTATGTAGTTCTTTTGGGTATTATTGTCACCTCTTTCTAATCTCTTCTGCCTCTCTAAAGTCCCTACTATTTTTGTTTTCTGTCATGGCCACCGCAAGAATTGTTACCTGAAGACCTGTAATTTTCTTGAGGAGATCTCTTATCTTTCCCATTCTGTTGTTTTCTTCTGTTTCTTTGCATTGTTCATTTACAATGTAAATGAAATATAATTTCAGGGGGGTGGGAGACTGGGAAAGATGTCGTAAGACAGTGGGATATGAGCAGCGAGGAGATGAGGAGGGAGAATGTTGTAGGCATGCAGGAGAACTAATGAAAAAGAGATGGTGTTATATGTAGGGAATAGTAAATCAGTGTAGCTGTATCTTAGAATGAGGTGGGACAGGGATGTAGTAAACCAAAAAAAAGATTGAAAAGCTAGAAAAAGGGTATATGTTGTGAAGAGTTTTAAATGCCAAACAGAGGGTTTTATGTATTTGATCCTGGAGACAATGAGAAACTACTGGAGTTTAGTGAGGGCGGTGGTACATGTGACCTGTGCTTTAGGAAGATAACTTTTGCATCTGAGTGGAGGATGTATTGGAGTGGAGAGAAATGTGAGGCAGGAAGTCTAACCAGAAGGCTGTTGTAATTGAGAGGTGATAAAGATCTGTACCAGGGTGCTGGAATGATGAGGGTATACATAGTAGCACTGTTATTTTTATAAATTACATGACTTGAACAGATTGGGTACATTGTGTAAATTTGACATGAGGAATCAAGGATTACAACATGTGTGGACCAAAAGGATGGTGATTCCCTCAACAATTAATGTAGAAGTTGAGGAGAGATTTTTGGGAGGAAAGATAATGATTTCTGTTTCAAATTTGTTGAGTTTGAGATGCCTATGGCACATCTAATTCAAGATGTTAAAAGATAGTTGACAATGGGAGACTGGAGCTGAGGAGAGATAGGACAACCTAAATAGAAATAGGAATCATCTGTCTAGAGGTGATCATTGAACACAAGGGAACTGATAAGATAACCAAACAAGACAGTATTGAGGTAGGAGAGAGCCCAGGGCAGAGCCTTTTTGAATACATCCATTGTTAATGATTTTGGCCTTGATGAAGAGTCAAGCAAAGGAGATTGAGAAGGAATTGTAAGACATATAGGTGATGATCCAGGAAAAAGTAGTGCCCTCAAAATCTAAAGAGCATTTAGGAAAGTTACTGGATGGCATTATAGGTATAAAGAAGTGTCTTAGGTCAAGAAGATTGAAGATTGAGGAAAAACAGTTATATTTGGCAATTAAGACAGCACTGTTAACTTTTGAGAGAACCAGTTCACTTGATTAAGAGGAGAAATTTGCTTACAGAGAGTTTTGAAGCCCCTGAGAGTAGAGGAAAACAGTACATCAAAAGAGAAACAGATTTCTCAAGGAAACTATCCCAGAAGGGAAGGAGTACCACAAGGTGATAGTTAACCATGATAGTGAGGTAAAGTGAGGAATTTTTGAGAATGTGGGAGACTTGGGACTATTTGTAGGCCGTAGGTAGAGAGAGATAAAACAATTTCAATGGGAGGGTTAAAAGTGGGTACTATTAATATGCCTAAGAAAATGAGGGGGGAGGTTGAGATCAAAGTTGCATGTAGAGGGACCACCTCTTAATGTGAGAAAGGTGGAGATAGATGGGGGAATACTTCTGAGTTCCTGTGAAATGAGGAGGGAAGAAGTTCTCTTGTGAATGGCTCCAATTTTTAAAGTAGGAGTCAGTGTTCTCACCTGAGAGTGGGGAGAATGAATGCCTTGGTTTGAATTAGCTGCTGTGAAAAGCATGTCTAGTAGGGAAGTGCAAAAAAATTGCTTTGCTGAAGTTAAGGTCCAGTTGAGATAATGTAATAAATTAGTAGTGAAACAAATCAACCTCTTTTCTCCCCCTCCCTGTTTTTAAAAATATGTACCATCAATCAATATGGACTGTATTTCTTTTGGAGAAGTTTATACTTTAAAAATTAGCTGTAGTTTTGAAATGACTTCTCTTATAACCCGTTTGCTTTAGTCATATTGGTCCTTTATGTCTTTGCATTTGATACTTATTCCCATTTCCTTGCCTGTAAATTATTTTATGTTGCCATTCCTTCTCCTGGGTACATATTTCCAATGTCACTTAACTGATTCTGTATGTCCCTAAAGAGTAATACTGTATGAGGCCTTCTTTGACTATTACATACCCAGTACCCTCTAAGCAACTTCTTATACTCACTATTGTCCTATGCCATGCTGTAAAGTACGTAACTGTAATCCACCTTAAGTGTTCTATGAATTATTTCGTGGGTTTTAGTGTCATGTCCCCATTTAGAATGTCAGCTTCTTCAGAACAGAGGGGATGTATCCTATGTTTGTTTTCTATTGCCCTATTGCCCCTTGGTCAATTATTAGAACATATGTCAGTAATACAAGGATCTGTAATTTCTGTGATTCTACTGCCCTTCAATACAAATTGTAACATTTCCATCATTGCTTACTAAATGGTCTTCTATGAAAATAATAAGAGAAATACAGTACAATCTTTGTTATTGTAGTCATGGACTCAAGGGATTTTTCCAGGTCAAAAATTATTTCTCCTCATTCAGTTTTCTGATAGCCTGAAAGGAAGAATTATAAGGATTTTAAGACAAAGTTATTTTGCTTTGTTTTTAATTATTACTTTATAGTAACATCCTAACTAGTTATATGAATGATATACAACGATAAAAGGCTAAATGAATAATTTTTGTATTCCAGTTTAACTTTGTTGGAAGAATCCTTGGGCCCAGAGGACTAACAGCTAAACAACTGGAGGCCGAAACAGGGTGCAAAATAATGGTCCGAGGAAAAGGCTCAATGAGAGATAAAAAGAAGGTAAGTCTTTGAAAAGGGATGGAAATGTGAGGGGAGTAGGGGAGAAAGAGTGTGTGTGTGTGTGTGTGTGTGTGTGTGTGTGTGTGTGTGTGTGTGTGTGTGTGTGTACACGTGTGTACACACACCCCTTCCTTACTTTTGACCTTTTCTGAATAATAGTTGATTGCGCATTACTTTATGTAAAGTATTTAGTAAAATTTATTAATAAAAGGTAAAATATTTTGAAGTGATAATCATTTTTACAATATGATCATATGAATTTTCAGGGTTTAACATTTATTTTTCAGTTAGCCAAGGGCAACATAATTTTCACCATCATCATATTTATGGGTACCTAAGTTTGCAGTCACAAACCTGGAGAATTAATCAGAATGTGGTTATTGTGTATCCACAAATGTATAATTGAGAGTCTGAGACATTACTTTTCTGTTGCCAAGGATAGCATGAGAAATATTAAGTAAGTTGTTTTGGATGGCTTGTCAAAGCACTTGTGTATATAATCCCATGAATATACAATAAAATAAAGCAAATGGTTACCCAGATACAAGTCATTCTCTTTATATCTGTCACTTAGTACTTGTCATTGAGATACTAAAGGATTTACCTTTAGGGTAATTTGGGAAGAAAGTGATTTTGAGGTCTTAAAGTACTATTTTAAAAGTGAGTTATTCTTTACTTTTCAATCTCATAGAATGTTTCCTTTTATCTCCACATTTCTTTTAACTGCATTTTGATTAGTGTATCTAGGAAGCAAGGGCAAATAGTTGAAAATAAAAAGTGTTATATGGACTTCTAAGAACAGTATGACAGGTACAAAAACTCAGAATTAGCTGAAAGTAACAAGGAAATCCAAGCAAAATGGCATGTATTTTTAATGCTGGATTAGGTTCAAGAATGTATCCATAACTAACTGTTGTTACTGGAAAGTTAAGAGGATGGGAACTAATTGATAAAGAAATCAGCACTGCTCAACTCAGTTCTTGACTTGCTTCTGTTTTCTTTGCCAAGGGAAATGATCTTTGGATTAAAAATTTGAAAACAAAAATGGCTAATAGAGAGTTAATACCTAAAACAGGTAAGGAGATGAGAAATAAGAATTCATGATGAGTTCAAGTCACCTGATCCAGGTGAACTATGTACTGAGGTACAAAAAACATTGATAGATTTCATTATCAAGCTACTATTAGCAATCTTTTTTAGGAAAAGGTATCACAAGAAGGGTAAACATTCCAGCATTCAAAAAGAAAGAGAATCAGGTTTGCAACTCTCGGCCAATGAATCTGTCTTTGACTCTTGGCAAAATTCTAAAAGATATTATTTAGCAGATCAAACAGAAATGATTTGGAATTTGATTAAATCTAATTCATTTTATAGGCAAGGAAACCTGAGGGTAGATAGGCTGTTAAATGCTTAGGGTTAGGGCTAGCTTTAGCAAATGAATGAATGAATGAATGAATGAATGAATGAAGTAAATAGCAATTAGTCTGAATTTGAATCCAGTTAATCTAACTCCAAAGCCTGTGATCTTTCTGGTGTACCCTGCTGTTATCCTGAATGGTCATGTCAGTCCCCAAAATACCTTTAGAAGTTTTCCAATGACTGTGAAATTGAGTCCAGACTTCACTATTCTGCATTCCATTCCCACTCTGTGATCTGGCTTCAGCTAATCTATATAGTCTAATATAGTGTAGTATAGGACTCTTTGTCCTATCTTCTAGCCAAGCTACACTGCTTATCACTCCCTTTCCCAGTGATGAACCATGTATCTAGAATTAATTGCCGTGTTACTTTCTTTCCTCCATATAAAAGAACGGCCAATATCCCACCCATTGCGGGGGCGGGCAGGCAATGGAGTTAAGTGACTTGCCCAGGGTCTCACAGCTAATAAGTGTCAAGTGTCTAGGGTCAGATTTGAACTCAGATCCTCCTATGCTCTATACACTATACCATCTAGCTGCCCCATATCCCACCCTTTGAAGTCCTTTATTTCCTTTAAGACTCAGCTCAAAGTAAGGGTTGGGAACTGTTCTAAGTAGCCTTTCTTGGCATCCTTAAGCTGGAGGCGCTCCTTTCTAAAAATTTTTCATTGCACATATAGTTGTATTTCAAAAGAAGTGTGGCTTTGTTCTTATAAATACTCTATGGCCCTTTCATGCTACAGTAAACAGGTTCATGAAGTGCTGTGGCCACAGAAAAAGGTCTTATCATCTTGATGCCAACTTTGTGGATAGAAGATTCTCTAAATCTGGCTGGCTGGTTCTTACATAAAATCCCATCACTAGACAGTTATTGAATTATTCCCAGCTTTATAATTCTTTGGAATGGTTTTTGAGAACCTAGTCTCACCTCCACACTGTAATGATGGAATGGAGCAGAGCTTTAGTGAATTTGTGTGTATATGTGTGTGTGAGAGTGTGATATGAGTTATTTTTTCAAACATTGAAGACTGTCAGGTCATTGTCATTGTGTGACATGTTCATTCTCTTTTAAGATACTCGTTATTTTTCTGTTTTGCTACCTTTTGTACACTTTTAACTATTCTTTTCTGGAATGAGTAGAAATTCAGGGTGTGGTCACTAGTTATTTGATATAGAATCACTCTTGGGCTTCAGGAAAAAAACTTTGTAATTAGTGACATTTAATGCACAATGCAAAGGTTTAGTATTAAGTTACTTAAAGAATTTTCACATGAATTCTTCTGTGTGGTGCACACAGTTGGCAGTACTTCTATTGCTAGTTATTGTGGTAAAGAAATATTGTTGGTTAATTCTTAGGTGAAGATTCTTTCTGAACTTGGCTATATTAGTCCTCTCATAAGAGAGATACTGCCTATCTCTGGATCCTTATTCAAAACCTTTACAGTTTGTCTTTATTAGAAGGATCATTACTGTACAGTGACGCATTGTGATAGAACTTTAGTGGAAGCCATACATATAGTTAGACATTTAATGTAATAAAGCTGTAGATTACCTTTTAAATTTATGTTAAAATATTGCCTGTTTTTACATAGGTAATTGTATTTGTCTACCCCTTAGATTGTAAATTCTTTGAGAGCAGGGTCTATCTTTTGCCTTTTTGGCACTTAATTGGGCAGGTAGGTGGAACAAGGGATAGAGCACTGGAGTCAGGAAGACCGGAGTTCAAATGCAGCCTTAGTCACTGGCAGTGTGATCCTGGGCAAGTCATTTAACTGCCTCAGTGTCCTCATCTGTAAAATGGGCAAACCCCTCCAGTATCTTTGCCAAGAAAACCACAAATGGAGTCAAGAGGACAGGACTGAAAGGACAAAATAACAACAAAAGCATTTAACACTGTACCTGGCACCTAGTAGGCACTTAAATGCTTGTTGATCTAATGGGTCTTTAGGCCATTGGACCTTTTCTAATTTTTATTTTTGGCCTAAATTCTAACTTTGAATGTTTTGAAAGAAATTTATATGCATATTTGTGGCACGGAATGCCTTTTACAATTTAAAGTTTACTGATCACAATAAATTATTAGCAAAGTCACCTTGGTTCATGCTGTTGTAACTATAGTTGCAAATTTTGTTATGTATTATAAACAGTGTTATAGGTAGAGCCAAAGATAGAGGATTCTGCCATCAGTTGTTTGGATATCATTCTGGAAAAGAAACTTTAAAAGATAAATGGGAAGGAGAAAAAGTGCTTGATTTAAGTTAGGCCAGATAACTGAAGTGTGGTTCAAGAGTGACAAAGAAAATGCAGTTATACAGTTGTACAGTTGTAAATTATTTTTTTGTTTGTTTTTTGGGTAGGCAGTAGAATTAAGTGACTTGCCCAGGGTCACACTGCTAGTAAGTGTTACGTGTCTGAGGCCGGATTTGAACTCAGGTCCTCTGGAATCCAGGGCTGGTGCTGTATCTACTGCGCCACCTAGCTGCCCCCATACCTTTATGCTCTTAAAAATTATTGAGCATTCCTCAAGAATAAAATCCCAAGTCTTTAGCCTCTTATTTACTGCCCTCCCAAATGCTGTCCTTTACCTATAATTCTGGGTTTATCCTCATTCCTCTATTGTGGAACTTGCAATTTAGCCAAAAACAAAACTCTGTTGTCTTTTCTCCCATTGCTAATGGTATACCACCCTTAAAGACACAAATGAGAGGCCATATGAACTGACATTCCCTGATCTTTCTCTGCTCAAAGTTCCAATATTTCTTTGCACGTCCCTGAATTTAAATAATTTTTTTTTGCTATTATGGCACTTTTCAATGTTTTTATTTTTCAAATATCTTTTTTAAAACAATCTTCCTTAACGTACTGTAATGTCCTTGAGTATAGAGATTATATTTATGCCTCCCATATCAGCTAGCAGAGAAGCTGATCTTCTTGTCCATTTCTCTTCTGCAAATTTCTTTACTGGTTTTCAAATCTACTTTCCTTACGTTTTTACAAATATTAATTTCCCCATTAGTACAAGAGATTTTGAGTTAAAAGATTTTGATCTTTTAACAGTTGTTTACCTGTTGAAGTGTTTTGTTTTGTTTTGTTTTGTTTGTTTTATGCCTGTCTTGACTTTTAAGAAAACACTTTGATATTGAGCTTGGGAATTCAATTAAATGACTATTTCTTAACTCCCTCAGATAAATTATATATGTGTATTCAGTTTTATGGTTTAAATAGGAAGATACAGGTCTGTACTAATGATGTATTGCCAGTAAATATGGGAAACGTAACTGCTTAAACAGATTAGGAAAATATTTTAAGCAATTCACGTAGCAGGTCGTAGTGACTCATGCACACTATTTTAAAGATAATATTTGTCACTCTTTAAATTCACTGTGAGTTGTTTTTTCAATGCTTTTCTTTTTCTTAGCTATTTTTTACTACCCTTTTTTCACTAGTATAATTTGGAGATAGTGTTTTCTTTAGTTTTGATGATTACAACTTACAGCAAAGTCCTTTCTATATTTCTATAAATATACTTTTCTGAATGAGATTCGGAATGAACATTTTTAATTCAACCTTTTGAAATGTTGT